CAAATAAACAAGGAGGCAGAGGACATCCTTTATCCCAGATACGGGAAGATGGCGTGGGGCATGGGCAGCGTATGCCTGCGCCTCAAAAAGCGCCACCCCGGGTTGCTCACATCCTGAAGGCAGATGTGGTGGAGAAGGACCTAGGTCTGGAAACCATCGTGGATGCCGACCGGGAAATGACGCTGGATGAGTCCGACGAAGGAGAAAACGGTGACCTTATCGTAGTAGTCAACCCGTCGTATGGAGGTGAGGCCAGTACTAATGACACTCAGGGTGCTGCAGCTCAACCTCCATAAGAGCAAGGTCGCGTCGGCGGAACTCCTCATAGCCATGGAGCAAGGATCCGCCGACATAGCTTTGGTCCAGGAGCCATGGATCGCCTCAGGCAATGCCATCGCCGGACTGAAGTCCGCAAATTACAATTTGCTCCATCCACCAACGGTAAGCAGGAATAGAACCGCCGTACTTGTACGGAAGGGTCTACACGCTAACCTTATGTCTCATTACAGCTCTGATGAACTGACCGTGGTGATGCTAGAGAGCGGGAAAAAGCGCTTTTTGGTAGCTTCCTGCTACATGGCACATGACAGGACGGCCCCACCAGACGAACTCATGAGCTTGGTAGAAGCCAGCCCGAAGGACCAGCAACTGCTCGTGGGTGCAGACGCCAACGCGCACCACTGCGTATGGGGGAGCCCCGACATAAACGACAGAGGTGAGTCCCTCTTAGACTTTATACTCTCGACCAACCTGAGTATAGCAAACGTGGGGGAGGAACACACCTATGTAGATCCCACCTCCTCAAACGTGCTAGATCTTACTCTGTTAAGGGGACAAGGTACTTTGGTATCAGAATGGAGAGTCCTTGAGAGACCATCTTTCTCAGATCATAAGTACATACGGTTCCAATACGCATTCGAACACTCTCCAAAACAATCAGTCTTCAGGAACCCCCGGAATACTAACTGGGGAAAGAGACTATCGTGACATGGCTCGCGATCTCTTCGGGCATAGTAGAATCCGCGGAAGACATAGAAAAGTCCCTAGAGACCCTCTCCAAAGAACTACTGGATGCATACCACGCATCATGCCCTATATCGGACACGAGAAAGAGGACCAGGCCACCCTGGTGGAATAAGGACCTTTCACTCCGACGCAACAAACTCAAAGAATTCCTCAAAATCGCCAAGCAGGCGAAAGATGACATCATCAATGAGGATTACAAAGTCCTACTAAGGGACTACAAGAAGGACATACGCAAGGTGCAGAGAAACTCATGGAGAAACTTCTGCTCCAATATAGAGACTGCCCCGGAAACGGCTAGACTCCGGAAGATGCTATCAAAACAGCCAACCATACAGAGTCAGCTCAAACGCGACGACGGACAGTGGACTGAGGGCAGCGAAGAGGCCCTAACAACACTAATGCATGCGCATTTCCCAGGATGCACTGAGGTACCCGATGCAAATGAGCACCAGGACCTAGCAACTGGAGTAGAGCATCTCCCAAAAGGTTTAATATCCTCTGGTAGAATCCACTGGGCCATAGACTCCTTTGCGAGGATAAAAGCACCAGGACTAGATGGAATATTCCCACCCATGCTGCAGGTAACCAAGGAGGTGATCACCCCATAGCTCTACGCAATATATACAGCTTGTTTAAGCACGGGCTATATCCCTATCCAATGGAGGACCTCTTGGAATGTCTTCCTGCCCAAAGCAGGAAAGTGCAGCCACAGGATTACAGACCGATAAGCCTCACCTCATTCCTACTTAAAACGCTGGAAAAGCTGCTGGACCTATACATCACGAAAGATGTAGGGAGACAACTGTCGACCAACCAGCACGCCTACACGAAGGGGAAATCAGTGGAGACGGCACTATATTCGTTGGTAGCCACCATTGAGAGAGCTCTAAACAATAAGGAGTATGCACTTGGAGTGTTCATGGACATATCCGGGGCATTCAACAACGTTAGCACGGACGCAATAATGGATCGCCTAGAAGCGACCAACTCGTCCCCCGCCATCAACTTGTGGATAAGGATTCTTCTCAGTTGCCGGCGGGTACAATCAGATTGGGGCACCGCTTCCATGGTGAGAGGAGCGCACAGAGGTACGCCGAAAGGTGGGGTTCTGTCGCCCCTCCTATGGAATCTGGTGGTAGACGACCTAATCAAGAGACTCGAGAGGAAAGCACCAAAGATAACAGCTTATGCGGATGACATTAGCATAATTATCATGGGAGTCTGTCCATCGACCCTCAGCTCGATCATGGAAACAACAGAGATATGTGAGTGGGCGGAGAAGGTAGGACTCAATATCAATGCGGATAAGACGGACCTTAATGCATTGGGTCTACATATCGGTGGTGCGTTCGACTCTGCTGTATGGGGTCTTAGTGTGGTGGCAAGCCACGGAGAAGAAAACGTATAATAAGCTTATGGAGAGAACCCAGCGGCAGGCACTGCTCTGCAAATCAGGGGCGCTGAGGTCAACCCTCACCAAAGCACTCGAAACCATAATCGGTATATATCCCCTAGATATCCGAGCGCAACTGATAGCAGGAAAGGCGGCACAACATCTGGTTGCATCAGGAAACTAGTCGCTACAAGGTTTCGGGCACAGTTCAATTGGTCGAGACATGAGCAGTACATCTGACTACATGATACTCAGAACGTGCCCGGATGTAAACACAACAGTATTCATGGGACCAAATGACTGGAAGTCAAGCCAGGACCATGCTCAATACCTCAATATATACACCGACGGCTCCAAGATGGAAGGAGGAGTTGGAGCGAGCATATACTGTTGAGACCCTGAAATGAGGCAGTCGTATAAGCTACCAAGCTACTGCAGTATATTCCAGGCAGAAGTATTCGCCATCAGGAAAGCAGCAGAGCTTGCGTAGAGCATAAACCGTCCACATGAGGCGGTCAATTTGTTCGTAGACAGTCAAGCGGCGATAAGATCCATGCAATCATCAGCGGTCAGTTCCAAAAATGTACTGGCAAGCAGGGAGTCACTAGATAGTCTAAGCACGACTAAGTCAGGTAGGATCTACTGGGTTCCCAGTCACCAAGGCATAGACGGTAACGAAACCACGGACGGACTTGCAAAGGAAGGCGTTGGACTGGCGAGTGAAAGAACAGAAAACGTCCCTATCTCCCTAAGAACGCTCCAAAGCGAGCTAGAGAGACGGGCTGACGCAAGCGCAAAAAGCAGGTGGAGGAGTAATTCCGCAACCTGCAGAATATCAAAAATCATGTGCAAAGAACACAAAGAGAAACTCACCCACTACGTGCTGCATCTTCCGCGGAAGGACTGCAGAATGTAAGTGGGTATTCTGACAGGTCACTGCCTGTCTGCTGCACATGCAGTCAAGCTGGGTATTACCGACAACGCCAAATGCCGGAAATGTGATGAATCCGAGGCAACCGAAACCTTGGAGCATCTCATTTGCATATGTCCGGCACTAACGAGGGCAAGAATGAGATACCTAGGCTCTCCAGTTCTGGCATCGCTATTTGCAAAATGATTATTGGCCAGGAAACTGGGCGACCCGGAATAATCCAGCGGTCAAGCCCGCGTCCGCGCCCGGAATTATCCAGCGGCGGGACGAGTGGCCCGGAATAATCCAGCGGCCACGCCCACGCTCGGAGTGATCCAGCAGCGGGGCGCCTTCGGGGCAGGACAAAGGCTCGGAGGAATCCAGCAGCCAAGGCCTGTGTCCACGCTCGGAAGAATCCAGCAGCGGGACCACTGTCTCGGAGAAAAATCTAGCAGCCAGCCCCGAATCCTCGCCCGGAAGAATCCGGCGGCAGGATTGTTCAGAGGGCTTGGAATAATCCAGTAGCCACGCCCACGCCCACGCCCGGAAAAATCCAGCAGCGCGGCGTCCGTTGGGACAGGACAACGGCTCGGAGGAATCCAGCAGCCGATGCCTGCGTCCACGCTCGGAAGAATCCAGCAGTGGGACAGTTGGCTCGGAAAAATCCAGCGACCAACCCCAGATCCTCGCCCGGAAATATCCAGCGGCGGGGTGGCTCACTGATGGGCAAGGGGAAAGGGGACCGGCGGCCTCGCGCAGCAAGTCCGGGCTCGGAGAGAATCCAGCAGCCACGGACTCCTGTTCCCGTCCGGCTTCCGCCCGCACCCGGAATTATTCCGGTGCTACGGGGAAAGCAGGAGGGAAATGGGTTACTGCCGGCGAGGGGCACCGGCCCGCGAACGAGGACGGAAAAAACGCACAATTAGAATTCTGCACATGTTCCTAATTTGTACTTTTATTTGGTAAAAAATAACTGCTGTCGGTGGGTGCGGGATAGATCCCGAATAAACTTAATGGCCGGCGGCCATGCTCACCCTGACTCGGTATCCCTGGAGGTCCTGCAGGATAATTGGTCCCGACGCGGACACGCGGTTTTGGCACTTGTACTTTTCACTTGACTTTCGGAGCGGCATGACTTGCGCGGTTGAGAATTTTGCGAGAATCGATTGACCTAATTTCCGCAGTGTGGCCGTGACCTAGTTTCTGCCGGCAGCGCTGCCACGATCGATCTTGGCGTTGCCAGATGCTGATACTATCGCTGACAGCGTTGCCACTTGCGCGCGTAAATTTAAAGCTTTGTTCCGTCTTTGGACTTCCCTTCGCGGGGTTTATTCTGGCTTCATGTCGTTGGCTTCATGCCGGGTAATGTGTGCGTTTTTTTTTTTTTGTTTTATACAGACAGGAAAATTAGGAGAAAGATAGGAAAAGAAAAGGTCCACTCCCGCGGGACTGCCGCAAAGCTTTACTTCGCGGGGCGGCAGGCGGTCAGGTGCCGCTCATCGTTCGCCGTCCATGCGTCGGATCTTCTCCCGGCACCTCAGCTCTCTCAATACGGTTGCTGCCATGTTCGTAACCGCCTCCCACTTGGCCGGCGTCTCCAGCATACACCCGATTATGTTTTCCGGTGTAAGACGACAGCTCGTTGCTGCTTCCAGGGCAGTCGTTGTTCAGCTATACCCGGAACCGCTGGCCCTGCTCCTCCTCCAGGTAGCGTCGGGCCCTGGCTATTTGGAGTCGCTGCTGGATCCGACGGATGAGCCCGGCGGGTAGCGTGCCGTTTGGCGTGCTCCAGCCGTCGGGAGCGGGTACCCAGCGGGTGTGACCCTGGCGGTCGCGGGGCGACTCCTCCTCGGACGAGGATGCACTGGGGCTGTTCGCCCAGGGCGCGCTCCGTCGGCGGCCTCGGCGTGCCGGTGCTGGTGTCGGTGATCGGTCCCTGGCCGACCGTGGCTCCGGATCGTTTGGCCGGGTCGGCCCGGCGGAGGACGAGCCCAGCTCGTCGCTCAGGTCCTCAGCCCTGCGTCGAGCCACTGCCGCGGCGCATTCGCCGGGTGTCGGTAGTGGGGGGCGTCTCGGTGCGGCCACGGCTGGCCTCTCGTCGGCGGAGTCCTCGTCGGCAGTCGAGGCGAAGCTCCTGCTCGTCGATGGCCCTTCTGCCCGGCGTGGGGCGACGGCGGCGGCGTATCCGCCTGACGTTGTCGGCGTTGAGCGGTTCGGTGTTGCGGCCGCGCAGGACATTAGTGGGCGGCCGGTATGATACGGACCCGGCGGCGGGGTGCTCGGCGGTCTAAAAGCTGGCTCGGCGTCGTCGGAGTCCGAGATCTGTATGACCTCATCCGCCGCTCCCTCGTCGCTGGAGATCTCCTCATAGTCCGGCAGGAACTGAGGTGACGGGGTCCGTGGCTCGTCTATGGATTGGGCGGGGGCGGGGCGCATTGGGAGCTCCGCTCCGTCCTCGTCGGGAGACTCTCCGAAAAGGCCCTCCATGCTCCAGTCCTCAGCCCCGTGGGCCATCTCCTCCAGCACGTCGGGTGGAAGGTCGCCTAGGCACTCTCGTAGCGCCGCTTCCACCTCGCCGTCTGAATCTGGTGCCGCCCGCGGTGATGATGTTATGTGGCCGACGGGTGTCGTAGTGGCCCGGCCGGTGTGCGGGCGCGTCGAAGTGCCGGCTGCTCGCGGTGCTGCCCGTGGTGGCTGCCCCTGGCTGCCGGTAGGCGTCGCGGACACCCGGCCGGTGTGCGGGCGCATCGATGGGCCGGCTGCTCTTGGTGCTTCCCGTGGCGATGGCTTCCCTCCTGGGGCTTGCCATTGGGTGGCCTGAGTCGATGGAGGCGGAATCGTGCGCAGCGGGACCAAAGGCGGCGGCCTCTGATCCGCGAGTTGCGGCTTCCCCTGGTCGGCAGGCGTGGTGGCTTCGGGTGGTCGCGGACGTGGCGGGGTGGTGTCCACCCGTATTGGGCCGAATCGGTGATCCGGCGGGACGTCGAGCTGCTCCGCGGACGGAATTTGTCCGCGGCCTCCGGCCACACGGAGTGGCGCAAGGAGTGGAGGTTGGGGCCGATGCCCCATCTCGAGACCCTCCAGCAGCTCGTCAATGGCGAGCCCTATCCAGGCGTCGTCCCTGGGTGATGAGATGGTGGCGCTGGCGTGCCGACTGCTTGTCATCGTGGCGAGATGGTTGATCCGGGTTGGTGGCGATGCGGCCGTGCTCGGGGTCATGGGCGAGATGCGAAGCGCGTGTGTTCAGCGCTGCCGTGCGCTGGATTCCCCGAGGGTGCTCGCCGGTGGTTGCCCGTGGACGGTGGGTCGCGGCCGTAGAACGGCTCTGTTGATGCTGCTGGCGACGTCGCTTTGCCGTGATCTGCTGCCCGCGAACGAGGACGGAAAAAACGCACAATTAGAATTCTGCACATGTTCTTAATTTGTACTTTTATTTGGTAAAAAATAACTGCTGTCGGTGGGTGCGGGATAGATCCCGAATAAACTTAATGGCCGGCGGCCATGCTCACCCTGACTCGGTATCCCTGGAGGTCCTGCAGGATAATTGGTCCCGACGCGGACACGCGGTTTTGGCACTTGTACTTTTCACTTGACTTTCGGAGCGGCATGACTTGCGCGGTTGAGAATTTTGCGAGAATCGATTGACCTAATTTCCGCAGTGTGGCCGTGACCTAGTTTCTGCCGGCAGCGCTGCCACGATCGATCTTGGCGTTGCCAGATGCTGATACTATCGCTGACAGCGTTGCCACTTGCGCGCGTAAATTTAAAGCTTTGTTCCGTCTTTGGACTTCCCTTCGCGGGGTTTATTCTGGCTTCATGTCGTTGGCTTCATGCCGGGTAATGTGTGCGTTTTTTTTTTTTTGTTTTATACAGACAGGAAAATTAGGAGAAAGATAGGAAAAGAAAAGGTCCACTCCCGCGGGACTGCCGCAAAGCTTTACTTCGCGGGGCGGCAGGCGGTCAGGTGCCGCTCATCGTTCGCCGTCCATGCGTCGGATCTTCTCCCGGCACCTCAGCTCTCTCAATACGGTTGCTGCCATGTTCGTAACCGCCTCCCACTTGGCCGGCGTCTCCAGCATACACCCGATTATGTTTTCCGGTGTAAGACGACAGCTCGTTGCTGCTTCCAGGGCAGTCGTTGTTCAGCTATACCCGGAACCGCTGGCCCTGCTCCTCCTCCAGGTAGCGTCGGGCCCTGGCTATTTGGAGTCGCTGCTGGATCCGACGGATGAGCCCGGCGGGTAGCGTGCCGTTTGGCGTGCTCCAGCCGTCGGGAGCGGGTACCCAGCGGGTGTGACCCTGGCGGTCGCGGGGCGACTCCTCCTCGGACGAGGATGCACTGGGGCTGTTCGCCCAGGGCGCGCTCCGTCGGCGGCCTCGGCGTGCCGGTGCTGGTGTCGGTGATCGGTCCCTGGCCGACCGTGGCTCCGGATCGTTTGGCCGGGTCGGCCCGGCGGAGGACGAGCCCAGCTCGTCGCTCAGGTCCTCAGCCCTGCGTCGAGCCACTGCCGCGGCGCATTCGCCGGGTGTCGGTAGTGGGGGGCGTCTCGGTGCGGCCACGGCTGGCCTCTCGTCGGCGGAGTCCTCGTCGGCAGTCGAGGCGAAGCTCCTGCTCGTCGATGGCCCTTCTGCCCGGCGTGGGGCGACGGCGGCGGCGTATCCGCCTGACGTTGTCGGCGTTGAGCGGTTCGGTGTTGCGGCCGCGCAGGACATTAGTGGGCGGCCGGTATGATACGGACCCGGCGGCGGGGTGCTCGGCGGTCTAAAAGCTGGCTCGGCGTCGTCGGAGTCCGAGATCTGTATGACCTCATCCGCCGCTCCCTCGTCGCTGGAGATCTCCTCATAGTCCGGCAGGAACTGAGGTGACGGGGTCCGTGGCTCGTCTATGGATTGGGCGGGGGCGGGGCGCATTGGGAGCTCCGCTCCGTCCTCGTCGGGAGACTCTCCGAAAAGGCCCTCCATGCTCCAGTCCTCAGCCCCGTGGGCCATCTCCTCCAGCACGTCGGGTGGAAGGTCGCCTAGGCACTCTCGTAGCGCCGCTTCCACCTCGCCGTCTGAATCTGGTGCCGCCCGCGGTGATGATGTTATGTGGCCGACGGGTGTCGTAGTGGCCCGGCCGGTGTGCGGGCGCGTCGAAGTGCCGGCTGCTCGCGGTGCTGCCCGTGGTGGCTGCCCCTGGTTGCCGGTAGGCGTCGCGGACACCCGGCCGGTGTGCGGGCGCATCGATGGGCCGGCTGCTCTTGGTGCTTCCCGTGGCGATGGCTTCCCCCCTGGGGCTTGCCATTGGGTGGCCTGAGTCGATGGAGGCGGAATCGTGCGCAGCGGGACCAAAGGCGGCGGCCTCTGATCCGCGAGTTGCGGCTTCCCCTGGTCGGCAGGCGTGGTGGCTTCGGGTGGTCGCGGACGTGGCGGGGTGGTGTCCACCCGTATTGGGCCGAATCGGTGATCCGGCGGGACGTCGAGCTGCTCCGCGGACGGAATTTGTCCGCGGCCTCCGGCCACACGGAGTGGCGCAAGGAGTGGAGGTTGGGGCCGATGCCCCATCTCGAGACCCTCCAGCAGCTCGTCAATGGCGAGCCCTATCCAGGCGTCGTCCCTGGGTGATGAGATGGTGGCGCTGGCGTGCCGACTGCTTGTCATCGTGGCGAGATGGTTGATCCGGGTTGGTGGCGATGCGGCCGTGCTCGGGGTCGTGGGCGAGATGCGAAGCGCGTGTGTTCAGCGCTGCCGTGCGCTGGATTCCCCGAGGGTGCTCGCCGGTGGTTGCCCGTGGACGGTGGGTCGCGGCCGTAGAACGGCTCTGTTGATGCTGCTGGCGACGTCGCTTTGCCGCGATCTGCTGCACCGTGTGTGCTTGGGCTGCGTGCTGATCGCTGTGTCTGTGGCGAGAAAAGAGAAAAAGAGACGGCGTCGTTAGGGGGCGCTTTCTTAGGACCCTACCTAACCGAGAGTTGCTCGATTTCTAAGTTTCTTTGCGAAAGAGCGGGCCAATGTTCCCCCCCTAGGTGGGTAGGAGCGTTGGACAGGCGCGCCTGTCATCAAGTGGCCCCTCTGAACATGGCCATCTTTCGATCGGGGCGTGGCTTAGTGGCGGCGGCGTGGAGTGGGGCGGTTCTCCCCAGGGCTCGTGTCGGTGGCGTCTGACTGCTTTGGGCTGTGCGTGTCCTCGGCATGGTCTTCCTCGTAGTCGCTGTCATCGCTCGCGCCTTCGGCGTGGTCATCTGCTTCTCCCTGTCGGTAGAGTTTCAGCTGTCCCAAACTCGCAGTACGACGTCGGCGGCTGCCGGGTACGTGTAGCTGGACGATGTTTGGCGAAGGGAACTTCGCCACTCGGAAGGGTCCCTCGTATCTCGCGGCCAGTTTGGCGGCGAATCCTTCAGCAGCGTTGGAGAGTGCGTGGCGTCTCACCAGCACTAGAGATCCTACAGGCGGCTTCCAAGTCAGTCGGCGCAGATTGTAGTGTCGGCCCTGATCAGCCGTAGCGCGCTCGGCGTTGTCTCGCACCAATCGGAAGATGTCCTTCAGCTGCTGGCTTCGGTCCTTTGGGGCCACCTCTGGGGTGCCTCGTCCTGGTGTGAGTTCATCGTATAGCGTCCGTGGCAGCCTCGGTTCTGGCCCTTGCGTCAGGAAAGCTGGGCTAAATCCTGTTGTGTCGGAGACACTGCTGTTGATGGCCAGGGAGATTTCCGGCAACAGCTGGTCCCATGTATTCTGCGGGCCTCCATCCAGGTACTGGGCGATCATCGTCTTGACCGTCCTGTTGGCTCTCTCCGTCGGGTTCTGCCTTGGCGTATACGGCGCCGTGATCCTGCCTCGATGTCCACTCCCACTTTTAGCCTTTCTTTACCAACGCGGTCATGGGTTCGACCACGTCGGCGAAGTGTGGAACAAAGCGGCGATACCAGGATGAAATCCCAAGGCACCTCCGGAGTTCCTTTAGGCAAGTTGGTGGCTTCAGCTCGCGGTTCGCGGCAACTTTATCCGGATCTGTATGGATACCCGCCTCGCTGATCACATGTCCCAGGTAGACGATGTGGCGCTGGAAGAAGTGGCACTTCCCTCGATTCAGGCGCAAATTCGCATTGAGCAGGCGTCGGAAGACCTCTTGAAGGTTAGCGACGTGTTCCTCCAGCGTTGAGCCTATGACGATGATATCGTCCAGGTAGGCGAATGCGTGCGGCTCCATGTCAGGCCCGATGACTGTATCCAAAGCGCGCTGGAACGTTGCAGGGGCGGAATGCAGGCCGAACGGCATCACCCGCCAGTGAAATAATCCTCTGCCGGGAACGGTGAAAGCCGTGCACTCCCGGCTGTCCGGGGCTACTGGTATACTGGTAATGGTACTACCAGTATCCATTTTTAAAGTCCAGCGTCGAGATGAACTTGGTGTTCCGGAGGTGCTCCAGAATCTGGTTAATCCTCGGGAGCGGATAGGCATCGGGGACCGAGTTTTCGTTGAGTTGACGATAGTCAACACACATGCGTACGTCTCCGTTTTTCTTAGCCGCAATCACAATGGGCGCGCTGGGCAGACTCTTCGAGAGCTCGATCCGCCCGTCTCGAAGAAGCTCGTCGATCTGTTTGTCGATGATGGCCCTCATGGCCGGGTTCCTCGGGAAGTATCGCTGCTTCAGTGGCCGATCGCTGCGCATGATGATGTGGTGCTCCACTATGTGGGACTCCCCTGAAAGGTTCTCGAACAAGGCCAACTTCTTCTCCAGAGATTCCTCTACCCAGGGCTCTGGGTAGCTGTGGGTCTCGAGCTCTTCCGCCTCGGCTGAATCTGGATCCCCAGCGGGGTGACTCACCGAGTTAATGTTTCCGCAGAGAGGCGAGTCTTGCGCCGGCGTTTTCTCGGCGTGGTTCTGGAAACGGACACGCTTCATGGAGGTGTGAAATGGATTTCGCTGCGCGGCGGTGGCATCCGCCACAGGCAAGACATGGGTCCAACTTGGCGACTGGTTCCCCATCGTGGACGGGTCTGTGCCCGGGATGACTGCCGCCCTCCTTGAGGATGTGCTCTCCTCTCCGGCAGGCGTGGTGCTGGCGGTCTCCCGGTTGATTTCGAGGGCTGTGCCCCGAGGGCGGGCGCGTGGCGTCGGTTCTCTGACCGTTGCTGGTTCCATGTGACTGGAGCGTGGCTCCGTCGTCGCTGACTCCGTCGTCGCTGGCTCCCGGCGGGCGGAGTGTGACTTGGCCGGCGGGCTTCGGGGTTGAGA